CTCAAAATCAATCATGCTATAAAAACTGTAGTGCAGTAAGTGAACCAAGCTCTTCCTGTAACATGCAATTTACAAGTAAGCACTTAAGTCTGTCCAAGATATACACCAACATGAGCACTGACACAAAGCATCATCTTGGTTTCTGTTTTGATTCATTAAAATAACCTAGAGCTAGAGCTAAGCTGCCCTAGGACATATGTGCCAAGACATGCCCCATACTTTCAAAATCAATGTTTTTAATGTTTGTGAGCTGTGAATAATTGCAGCCTTGAGTGACTCAGCTGCTTGTAGTAAACTCATGATTTAACTTTGGCTCAACATGGGACTTTTTCCAACATTACAAAGGCCGTTTTAAAGGAACAAAGAAAACTGTGTGTGAGGCATTCTGAAGCATTCTGCTGCCTCACTACTTGATCACCCATCCTTCTGCCTGAAATGCTGTTTTAAATCAAAACAACTTAAGTCACTTTGGTAATTACCAGATTTTCCACTTAGGTGGAAGATCAGGTGGCAGTGACTCAACACATCAGCTGTTTAAATGATTGATTAAAAAAAAAGCAGGAAAGTCTCTCACAGCCACATGAAGGCATGAATGCTGGAAAGCAGGAAGAATGTTGTCCAAAGGTCCCTAATGTGGTTACTAATTGTCTTTCACTTTTATTTTGAAATGTTTCTCGTGCAACCTTCCAGCTCCAATAATCTTCACGAAGGGTGCTGAGGTTTGAGGGACGGCCTTCTGAAAATAAAGCTATCCAATTAAATACACTACGAATCAAAAGTTAGAAATCAGTGTTTTCAGTAATAAAAAAACAGTTTGGTGTAACGTTTCTAATATGTTAGTTCTAAGCAATTTCACAGGTTTCAAATATTGAGTAGGACATGAGGAAGCTGTAAAATTAAGAATGTATTCAGAATGTATCACATTGTCAGTGGAGATCAAATGTAAAGGCAGTTAACAAAGTAATGGCAAGTCCCTTAAATTCTAGGTAATCCAGACAAGTGTGAGGTAGAACTCCAAAGAACAAGGTAATAATTTTGAGTAATATGATGATATTCCAACACAGTCGAAATTACACTGAAATGCTCGGCAGGTTCTAGATATTAACTGTGCAGTGTGTGCTGTCATTATACTTTCTTTGTGTGCAATCTAAATATGTATTAGATGCAGGTCTATGAAACTGAACCAACGCTGTAAAAAAACATTTCTTACTGTTTCCTTGAAAAAGATTGTTTTTATTTTGTGCTGTCATTTTACGTCATATAACTTGGAAGTTGGAGGTATTGCTGACTTACTTTCCTGCTTAAATGTATGACATAATGTATACTTCAGAATTTAGTGTATGTTTGTACTCAGCACCTCATTACTACACATAATTCAGTGGTATTTTACTGTGCTCCTCATCATCTTAATACCGAGAAGTAGTTAGTCATTTCAGTGTAACTCAGACTACCTGGTTACTTATCACCCACCATAATTAGACAATTGCTCAATTAAAGGTGTATGATTTCAGTCCAATCCACTTCGTCATATTCAGTGAAAACATCTTCACGGTCCACTAGCTGTCCGTTCTGTGTGCGCACTGGAAAAAAATCCAGTGGTCTGGCTCTGTAAGACAAAGGACTGGACCACTGGAACACTATACTTTTCCAGCCAGTCAGTGACAGGGGACATTTGTGCTTGTGCACAGGACAGGGGAAAGGGGAGGACATGCAGAGCTCCACACATTGTCAAAAAGGAGAGATGACAGAGTAAAACCTTGAATGTAACTGCTGCACCATTTAAGGTGGAACTGGAAAATTTGAACAAGAAGCTGAATTACCAGATTGTAGCCCCACTGCTGCACCATTTAAGGTGGAACAGGCAAATCAGAACAAGAAGCTGTCTGACTTCAGCTTCATTGAGAGTTAAAAGGCATGAAAATGGATGAGGATGTTGGGCTGTTTCAGCTTGACTGGTGGGTAACTAACTTATTTTTGCTGTTTCACAGAACCAATAGGTCAGTGTCATTTTGTGCCGTTTGCTCATGTTTGTCATGGCAACTGGTAAGATTAGCAGCAGCAACTGTAGCGACAGTTTGCTAACCCACAAGTGACCTGCAACTAGCCAACAGTAGTTGGGTGAGTCTGGCCCTAACAGTATGACATGGTTTGTTTGTACAAAGTTTGTGAAGGGTTTATGGTCACAGAGATGGTTTGCTAGCCCAGTGTGGTTTGCCTTGGCATTGTGCATCAATGTCCATTAATTTGGGGGCAGAGCTTCTGAAGGAGCACTGAAGGGAGGGGTGTATCTTGCTGCCCTCAAGTCCTCCTCGGAAGTTCCTACTTACAGCTTCGGAGGTCGTAAGTATGACTTGATTTGTGTTCAGGTTTTTTGGGTTGGAAATAAGATAGATACACTGGAAATAATGTTTTTGGTTTACTTTTGTTTTTCTGTCGTTAAAGAGAGTCTGTGTATTTTGCGTTAATGCAACAAAGTAAAGAGCTTTAGGAGGATGCTTATAGGTAATGTTTTTACGCAGTTAGATGTGTCACATAACGTGTGGATGGTTTCCGCCTGCAGTGTTAAGGTTGTGACTGATTAATAACTAAAATACCACTTAGCCATTGTGATGGCATTCATGTTCATCTATCTCGTAAATCCGATATTTCTGACAGGACTTGTCGGCAGCATTAGTTTTTCTGTTAAGTTTACAGTTCACATATCGTTCTCCAGAATCGTGTATTGTGCCTTTAATGTCTGGAACCTGTTGGGCAAATTAGTTTAATGTAGTCAGACTGTTCTGGAACGTACCTGTCACCCAAAATTACTACTTATTACCTGGGTATGGTATGACTTTGTACTTTGGAGTTTGTACTTTACACTTTCCTGGTTAATACCCAAGAAAGAGTTACTGATAACAAAAATAACATAGTCCTATGCAAAAGTTTGAACACTCCCTGGTCTATTTATGTTCTGCTGATTTTCTAAGTGAAGAGTTAACACATCCTCTTTTTTCTGCAAATTTTAGTGCCCACTTTCTATGTATTTGCTAAGTTTAACCCATTTAAAATATTTAAATCTGCTGAATGAAGCAAATTAACAATAACTGCATTAAACAGTGCCGAAGTGTGTCCTCTGTAGAGGATGTGTTGACCTTATTCCACATAGAAAATCAACAAAATGTAATTTGTCCAGGGAGTGTTCAAATTTGTATTTATTTATTGTAAATAAATACAATTAAATACATTATTGTATTTATCAATTCTTGTTCATAGAAATCTTGAACTAATGAGTAAAACTTCTAAAAGTACGTTTTGTTGTGTAGTTTGTCATGTTTCAATCATGTTTAGGGGAAAAACCTTATTATTGTGTATGAAATTACAAAGGTGATTAATACAGCGAATACAGACTGATGAACGTAATGCACCACAGCAACTTTGATGTCACCCCCCGCCCACACACACACGCACACACACACACCCCCACAGAACAGCCCACATTGATATTCTGTGTGTTGAAATGACATTGGCTTACACCGTTTCACGTCATCATGAGTGTCAGTCATAGATCACCCCTGCTGTGAACTGGGCAGCTCTTTCATATTTAAATGGTTACAGGTCATACAGAAACTACACACACGCCTGTATTTCCCAGAAGTCTCTCTATCTTTTGCTGTTTCTCCCTGTTGTGTCTATGAGTTCATGTTTGTTGTCTTATCTGTAGAGGGTAAGCAAGTTTGTATGTGAGGTTCAAGGTGCTTTCTACAGCTCACTTCCTTTTAGTTTGCGAGTAGTTCAGTTAGAGCCACACATGCGAGTTCACACTCACATATCGGGGGAAGTGAGACGCTTGCCAGAAATGGAGCAGTGTTCTACACCTACAAACAGGCTTTTACTGAAAGTGGTATATACGTTATCTAAGTAATCTTCCACCTCACGCCTCGACTTTTACACGTAGACAGCTCAAAAATATGAGCATAAGATTCAGCACTTGCTATTAGTTTTTCAAAGAAATCTGCAGGGATATTTTTTCCACCTCCAAAGTTCAGTCTTAGAAGTTGGTTGCATTTTCTTCTTCTAATGATCCAAGAAACCCTAAACACATTCAGTGATGCTGAGGTCGGGAGTCTGGGGTGGTCAGTCCATTGTTCTGAGAACACCAGCAGCTTCTTTGTTTGATTTACAGATCTTCTTTTTTGTCTAATTCCTTTTCCCACTGAGGGCCTCCTGGCAGCTACACATCCTTTCAGACTCATAGTGTTGAGTCGTCTTCTCGCAGTGGAAGGATGGACAGAAACGCCTGTGGATTTGTTCAAATCTGAGTCAAGAGTGGAGCTTGATTTTCTCCTCTCTCTCACAGATGGAAGCTTTCAGTGCTGTTTATCTAATAGTGACTGTTTTGGTTGTCTACCAGTTCCTGTTTTTTTCAGCTATTTTTTTCTTTGACTTTGCCATCCTAATGCAAATAAAAACTTATCTAATATCTCTTGAATAATGAGTACCATGTAATGGCTGTTCTGACTGGAAATTAATAAATGAATGGTGGTCTTTTGCACAGAACTGTGCCTTAAAAGGCTTCTTTTGTACATGCTTCAGCTCCCCTCTGTGATTATCTTGGGCTTTAATTCATGCAAGTTTTATTTTTTGTTTTTCATTTATTAAAAGTCTTGAATGATTCACAATTACCTTTAAAGTTTCACACACAAATAAAACTACAATCATCTTCAGTCATATATTTTATTCTTCTTTTCAATTTTATATATATATATAATATATATATATATATATATATTCCTTTCCCTATGTACAATTTGTTATTCCTCTTTTTGTTGAAGAAATAAAGCAAACAGCTTCCATTACGAACAGTGTTTTATACTAAAGGGCCAAACAGGTACATTTCAAAAGTGCTTCAAGAAGTGAAAGAATGCTGCCATTCTTTCCCACCGCAACTGGGGTGAATGGACTCGGAAAAAGGACGTTTTAAAACAAAAAAAATTCATGTTTTTGGACAAAAACAACCTTTTTTTACCAGAAAATCTTACCACAACAAGCAGAAATATCTTTTCTCCAGGTTAAAACAGTTGTCCCTTTAAAAAAACAACACAGCTTAAAGTTTGCCAGAGGCCTTTGGTTGCCCTGTCCATTTCATTCATTTATTTCATTTAAAGGGGAATTGCACTGATTTTTAAAGTATTGCATAATTAAACCAATAAAATGTAAACAAAGTGATTGGGAGTGGTTTGATGTGAAATGCAGCGTTCTAGAGAAACTTAAGTCAGAACTGTTCACAGTGGTGGTGATAGGAACCAGACGTCTGAAGAATTTAATGCTTCTAAAAGCTCCTACAGAAAAGTTATTACATGAAATTATTACTGTGTGACAACTAAGTCGTTGTTGTATGACAATTTTATGATAAGATTTTGGTATAAAACATTATTATATCCAGTCATGGTGAAGGGATACATGCAAAATGTTGTAAGGCAACATAGTTTTCTAAGAAAACTATTTTCCACTTTTTTATCAAGATTACATATATAAAACCCCTGTGGGTTCACAGGTCATTTTTGTTAGTAAATATAGTAGCTATATATGCAGTATAATAGTAGGCATTGTGGCCCCTGGTTTTCATCACCACCACTGTAAAGAAATGTGGTTTGTTTCTCTACAGTGCAGGATTTCACATCAAACCACTATGAATCACTGTTTACATCCGAACGACTGAAATATGCAAACTTTAAAAAAATCAGTGGAATTCCCCTTTAACTCATAATCAACTTGCGTCTATCTTGAGTATGACCTAAGCCGCTGTCATTACATTAACGTAAGAGAATCAGACAATAAGACAATTGGTGATCATGCTGTACAGGACATGTACATGTACATGTAGGCACCTATCTGTCACTGTCCAAAGTCAAGTGGTTGAGCAATGCTTTATTGCTCATATGGCAACTAGGGTATATTTTTAAATTCATGATGAGCATTGGGGCTAAACTTGAGTCACAGCAACGACACATTCCGCGACACGTAGTGACAAACAGTGGTCAGACTGTAAATAGATGGCATGACTGATTGTCACTGGAAAAAAAGGTGATGACTCCATGAGCGCATCATCAAATTTAAATAAAGAATCTAACTTCCAGCAAAAGGGTCATTACTTCCAGACAACATTTACAACTACTGCCTTGCATAAAACCTTACCAGTCATGCAATTTGTGAGGCAGAAACGCCAAAGGCTATCCTACCCGGCCAATAAAATGGATTCTGACTCGGAGGAACTGGCTCCTGAAACCCACAATGCTCACTGTTTGGCAATGACTTATTTCTTGGACTGGCTTGGCATCTTAATCTTTGTTGGTGGGATTGCTGATAAAGTCATATATGTCTATAAGTCCAAAGTTTGGGTTTCACTTTCTCTTTCCTTTCATTTCTAACACTGGGTGTCAATATAAAGCAAGAGCAGCTTTACTTCAGCTAAAAGGCCAAAAATCGTAAATAACACCAGGCTGTAGCAGCAACGTTTCTCTGACACTGCATTATGGATGTACAGTAATTTGTATAAATTTGTGCTGCCACTGCAATGTTGTGGATTTTTTTAAAGAGTCTATGTCAAACTCTGGAGCTGTGCTATTTTTAGCGTCCTCAACTGTTCCTAAACATGTTGGAAGGACGACGCGAATGTGGCTGTCAATTTGTACATTCTCAGTGCTGGGATAGTCAGTAGCAAGACTTTAAAGGAGCAAGGAGAGGTCGGGGGTCTTGTGCTCTGGAAGTGTAAAGGCACTGTCCTGTCACATAATATCAACAAAGAATTCACAAGGATTGCCCATAGCATGTTGAAAGGACTGGCGGCTAGCGGTGAGTTCTGGAGGTACGTTCCCTAAGTCGCGAACAGGAGGCGCTCCAGGAGGACCTGACTGGCTCGCTGAGGCCTTAGGGATCATGCGAGCCAGGCAGTATGGAGGGGGCAGGCCTGGGGGTCCATAGGAGGAGGCATGGCTCCTCTCGCTGTGGGTGCAGGACACGTGAGCAGGCTGGACGAAGGGGGAGTGGCTGTATGAGAAAGAGGCGTGGCTGTGCTGGGCCGGGCCGTGGCTGCGGTGGGACTGGGCGTGGCTGTGGCTGGAGCAGGCTTGACTGGTGCAGGAGCGTGTATGACTGTGATGGCTCAGCTGGCTTGGCGCTCTTTGGCCCTGAAGCCCCGCCCAAACGCCCAGCTCCGATTCACAGCACGTTGACTTGTGGTCCTTCTCTCGAGGGGAGGGCCTTCGTCCTTTCCCTGCGCTGGGGTTGGAGCCGCTACTTCTGCTGCCTAAAAAGAATAAAGGAAAAGAGTTTTAAAGGTTTGGAAGAGCATGAGCCATTCCTTAAGCCCGAGACACCAACACTGCAGTTCTGACCCAAGCCCTTGTCCACTCACATGGCACATCAACACATGAAAGGGATGGTTTTTTGTATATCTTCTAAAGCTTCCTCTTTACAGGGGTGGGTGATATGAACTCAAACATGATGGTATTTTTTTGGACAATAATGATATGATTTCACAGTACACCAAAAATAGGGATGCACTGATATGGGAAATGTGGGCAGATGCTGATTTCCAATATTTTTCTGTTGATTCTGATACATAAACATTTATAAAATGTGGAACTTGGAAATAAATCTGCCTGGATTAGCACTACAGAGAAATATAACATTTATTTCTGTGCAGTGAAATGAACAGAATGCGCATATTACAGCATAGTAGCCGAGAATCACCCAAACATTCTGGAGTTCCATTTCAGAGTAAAATAAATACATCATCAAATATCAGTTTGAAATATTGGGCAAATCTTAACATCTGTCCATTATCTGTTGATACTGATATGATTCAGTCCTGTTTTTACCTTTTTCATCTACGTTCAAAATTCAGTTTGGCACTTTCTCACTGGTCTCTAATATAATATTTAATCATTCCCAATAGCTAACAGAGGTAGCTTGCTTTATGTTTATGGTCCTGCATTTGATCATATGTTGATCATATGGGCAATATTTCAATATGTTTTCAAAATACAGGATAAATGTCACAATTTTGAGATTTTCTGAGGTTTGATAAGATGGAAACAAATATGAACCAGCAGTGGAACATTTTAAAATGTCCTGAAACATGCTGGTGGTCTTTAAGTACTGATAACATCATTTATCATGATAAAGATAAATGTCATCACATTGCCCACCCTTAATCAGCTTTGTCCAATAGAACGCAACAAAAATGGAAGAAGAAGCCTTTTCACAGAGTATCTGCAGAGTGATAATCTGTGCCAGCTGTATAAATAATTGTGTAAAGTATCCGTGATATGATAAAATGAATCCATATCATGGGACCTCAACAGTTATTCAGTTGCATACGGGTATACCTCCCACCCCTGCCTCTTTTACAAATGAATCTATGTTGAAAGACCATAAATAATATTGGACTGATCCACTGTCATGCACACCATGAATGGCACCATGATGAGAGTACAGCACACCAGCAGACATGCCCAGAGAGCACAGAGAGAACACATGAGCAGTACCACCAGTCACAGAGGCTGATGAGCCATTCAAAATATGGCACAGTGACCAACCGGATATCAAAGAATGAGAAGGGAAGGGAGGGGCAGAGAAAGAAACAAAGAGAGGGAGCAGGGTTGAGGGTGCGTGGCAGGCTTACCATGTCCCCCCCAGTCCTGGGAGCAATCCTCCATCAGTCTACCATTGCCCAGCAGAAACAAAGGGAACAACACAGTTACCATACACAGCCCTGCCAAGCAGCCAGCCATCTAGTCTAGCGGTGCTAGACGTGATCTCGTAACGAGAGCGTCTGGGAACAATCATCAGAAATACTGGGCTAAATGTAGGTGAGAACATAGACTTATTACAGTGTGAATTACCTCAATGTGAAGTTTCTGAACTGATCCAAGCTCAGATGTGTACATCGGTTCCACAACACTGAAATATGTTACATCTTAAATTCAGTAAATGAATTATGTACTTACACATAATAACTATGTTGATGTAACAAGCAACCTTTATTTTTTAGTGTAGCCCATGAGTGTAACGTAAGAATTAATATGGCTGAAAAGTCCACTCAGAAAGCTCAACTTAAACATGTAGATGTGTGTTGCGTGAGCAGACAGCACTTTACATGTGGTAAAAATAAGCATTACCACTTGCTCTGATCTGATTCGAAGTTGGTTTGACTTTGGCTACATTCACACTGCGGGTAAAACTGGTCCAAAACCACTTTTTCCCAAAACGTTTTTTCTTCTTATGTAACACAGATTTGTCTGAACACTAAAAACACATTGAATCTGACAATTCCAGTTTGGGCCGCTTTCATATGTGGTACTGAAATCTGACACATATCTGATACATCACAATGTGACCCCTGTCTGAACAGTCAGACTTTCATGTGGAATTCATGTGACTTTAATGTCAACCCTGCTGAATCATACTTTTGTGTGCACAGGAACAGACCCTTCATGGCAGTGTCATCTAAAGGCATTACTGTGGTTCTTTCACTTTAGAGGACAAACAAGACACGAGTGGGTAGTGAAAACAAATAAACACGACACTTTATAACCTGACGGATCAAATATTCAAAACCATGTTTACTGCAAGGATATTTAAGGATATTTTATATATAAGAAACGAAAGAGTCAAAGGAGCCTCCTAGATCAAGAATTTGTTTTATATCGACAATTTGGCACTGAATCTGCATCCCTTTCCTAGCATTCTTCTTCACGGCATGTGAACAAAAGAAACTGAACCTTTCTCTGTTTGTTCGGCTTCCACACTTAAAACAAGAACAGGAACTCACAATTGTTACTCTGTTCTGTAAACTCTGCCCAGCGTGGGTGTTTTAGAGTCTGCTGTCTGACCTACAAGTTTAAAATATCACATTTGCACTCATTAAAGTTCAGTATCACATGAAAGGAGGCTGTAAATTTTAAGGAAATATGGATTACGGCTGTGTTTGTTGGTTGTGCATGCCAAGTAGATTGGTGTACTTTTGCATATGCAGGTCGGTTCAAGGGTGTGATCTGTTCAGACTTATGTCAGATAGAGGCTATATTAAAATGAAAATGTCAACAACCCAACAACAAAATATTACAATGTATTTGTAAATCAGATTTGGGCCTCTTTTACCTACAGACTGAATATAGCCTTAGACCTATTATTCCGAAGATATGCAGTTTTAGAAACAAGCCCATTTCATTATAAGTGCAAAACTCTGCTTTGCCAATTATACACATTAATAAAACACATAGAGGCAAAAGTCATTCTGATTGGTACACAGTGAACCTAATAAATTATGAAGTAAATGTGCGTATCGAAAATTCTGCTTAAAACACAAAGATTTTAAAAGAATGAAAAGGTTTGAGATTGCCTTGCTTGTTTCTACCATGACTACCATAACAGTTTGCTATATAGCAAGTTTTTCTTGTGTTATGAACTGTATTCCAGACATTAATAAAGCATGGACTAGTGGGAATTCGGGAGCCGGTTTTAAAGGGGGCGTACACTTGATGGTGGCGGTTTTCACCGCAGTCCAGCACTGAAAGTTTAATATATTGTCCCCAGACTCTTGTTCTCATTACGAGATCACACCTGGCCCCACGAGACTACCAGCCATCAAGGCATAAGTCCACTGCATATCCACCACTCACACTCACCCTACACATCCAAGGCCAAATATCCTCCTGCACTCCAAATCCTTAAATGCTAACATACACATACATACATAAACACAAAAATGTATAAGAATGTATTAAAACAAATTCATTCAGTGCTAGATTGTCACTTTTTACTCTCAAACCAGTGAAAACTCATTAATGTGCATTCTCAATGTCATCCTCATCCTCCATGCTGACAAGCGCACGTTCACAAAGGTGATGTGAACAAAGTGCAAATTTTAACACCAGGTGTGCTAAAACTGGCCGTACCACATATATGGAATGTCCAAGCGAATACAGCGACAAAGGTGAAGCCCTAAAACCGAATGATCGTAAAGAAAGAAAGCAAATGACTACCTGACATTTACGCTAAAGGTAAGAGCATACTTCCTGCACAGTGAAATATTACACACACCTGCTGCAACAGGATGGATTACAACAAGAGTTTTGTTCGCTTTTGACCTGATCAGGTTCAATCAAACACCTGAATGGAGCAGTCCTCAGTTCCAAGTGAGGGTTACTCCGTTCAGGGGTCTCACCTTGAAGCTAAGTAGAAAAAGTTATTTGTGGTTTACTGTTTTTAAATACATCTACACCATTCTAATGCATTCTGGGCAATATCTGACTTTACAAACTGAAAAAGATTCAAAACATTTATGAAGACAGCCCAAATGACCTATACATTCTACGTATGTTCTCTTTTTATCTATACATTCTACGTACAATAAAAACCACCTAGAAAATGTACATTATGATGGAAGCCCATTCTTACCACGAAGAGGAGTAAAGTTTAGTTTTTTATTCTTTCTTTTCTGGAGGCAGTATGTCAAACATTTTCACATACTATTTCCAAATAAAGACTTATTTTCTCAAAATTTCACTTAGCATTTTAAAATAATGACTTGTTTTCTCAACATTCTGAAAAATGTTTGACTTGAAAAATAATTACTTATTTTCTCAGAATTATGACTTAGTATCTCAAATAATTACTTATTTTTGCAAAATATTTGACTTAGTATATCAAAATAATTACTTATTTTCTTAAAATGTTTGACTTAGTGTCTTATAATAATGACTTATTTTCTCAAAATTTTGACTTAGTATCCAAATAGTTAGTTTTTTAGTAACTTTGTATCTTAAAATAAATACTATTTTAAAATAAAGTCTTATTTTCTCAAAATTTTACTTAGTATTTTGAAATAATGACTTATTTTCTCAACATTCTGATGACCTCTCAAAATAATGATTTTCTCAAAATGTTTGACTTAGAATCTCAAAATAATTACTTATTTTCTCTGAATTTTGACTATGTCAAAATAATTACTTATTTTTGCAAAATGTTTGATGAAGCATCTCAAAATAATGACTTATTTTTTGAAAAATTTGAACCACTGTCTCAAAATAATTACTTTTTTTAATAACTTTGACTTTGTATCTCAAAATAATTCTTCTATCTTTCTTAAAATGTATTAATGTATTATTTCAAAACAGTAAGTCAGAATATTCTCTTAAAATCTAAAGGTCATAACTCATTACTTCAGCATACTACCTCAAAGTCTCAAGAGAACAAGTTGGAAATGTTGAGATACTATGTCAACATACTGCTGCCAGAGAAGAAAAAGTAAAACATATAGATTTTTTTCTCCACTACCTGGCAGGAATTGGCTTTCAGACATTCACGATCACTTCTAGAGTGATTATGTGTTCCATGCTAACTAAGCCAACATACTGGGGCTGCAGCACTGTGAAAATATCAATCTCTGCCCTTAGATAAAACCAGTTCGTTGTCATTTGAGCAAACTAAAGCACAACTAAAAAGAGGACAGCTATGGATGTAGATTGGGCTGTCCCTACTCCACAACACACAGCTGGCCATAACGATTTCCAAAGGTTCTTTTACTTCCCTTTCTCTTCCTCTTTCATTTTTCTTTTCCCTAATAAACACTCATACAAACACTTTCTCACCTTCGCTTTGCTGGCTGCCAGCACTGCCGCTGTGGAAACTGTGGCAGGGGTCCGAGTATCCAGGAGGGAAGCTGGAGGGTGGATTTGGGTAGCCTGGGTAGGGATATGGCTGCCCCCCAAGGGGCCAGGGGTTTGTGCCAGGTGGAGGGAGTGGAGCTAAAGCATCCTGCTCGGAACCACCACCACTGGAACCCTCATTGAGGTTTAGAGATGCCATGTCTGGAGGTGAAACATGAATAGTTAATACTAATACTAAAGGCTACTGAGTAAACTAAGGATAAACTGTATTGATTAGAATGTAACAAACATGGGCAAATTAATCTTAAAAGAATAGCTTAACCATGCTAATGTGGCTAAATGTAAATGGAAGTTAGTAAACACTAATTGATGGATGTTATTATATATTCTTAGCAACATTAGCTTCTCTGATTGAACTATTCCCCTAAAGGTACACTAAACAGAAGAGCAGATGTAGCGTACTTTGGCACAGGTCTCCAAAAGTGTAGTAGCACTGCTCAGAGAAGGTGATCTTATTGACAGTGTGTCTCAGGTAGCCGTGTTTCAGCAAACTGCTGGCGTATTTCCTGGCGTCACGGCGGTCCTTAAAGCCCTCCACTCGAGAAAACAGCCAGTCAACCACATCAGCACCTAAGAAATACAAACATCAAGACTTCAATCTTTACAAATCATCATTGATTTAGTTAGAAATTCTCTAACCTCTTGAGTGCAACAGAGATAGTCAAACCACTCCCTCTAGTGGCTCTTAAGTTAAATACATGCTGAGCTCCCTCACTTGCCATTGCCACTGTTGTAACTCCAAATTCATTCACTCATAGGGGACCTAATATGCTCATTGTTGGGACTAGAATAGATTTACACGCTTTAATATTCCAAAAACACTATTTTTCTCATAACGTACACCCACTGTTTGAAATGCTCTGTTAGCACCCCTCTGTCTTTAAGCCCCCTCCCAATGAGCCCAGTGCGCTCTGATTGGTCAGACGTTCCACCCGTCTTGCAGTCTGCAGACAGACCCTTCTCTCCAGACAAGCTGCATGGCATTGGTTTTTCAATGCCATTGGTTCTGCCATGTCAGTTTGAGCCAGAGGCCAATCCTAAAAGTCAGGTCTGCGTCTTCACTTTGGCTACAAAACTGAACAAACTCTTCCCGGCCTCCGGTAGTTGCTGTGTGTTGTGTGAGGGCGTGCCAAGCTTGCAAGCAGGTGGGACTGTGTTACAAAATTGCATCATCTTGTAACAAAGGAAAAGGGCTGAGAAAAGTGGCTTCTGTTGGAGAGAGTTTCTCCTTCTGCTGTGTATTTTGAGATTTGTAACTGTGTAGACTGTTTACATGCACAAAAAGATATATAACACACTAAAAGGAAAGGGAAAAACTGGAAAAGGGTAATACGTCCTCTTTTATTTCTCTCTATAAACTGCTGCACCACTCACCAATGACAGCATTCGCTATGGTAATCTTAAGCCACATCCGGTCTCTGATCTCCAGACCTGAGTCAGGTAATTGCATCACCTTCACTATGGTGGCCATGTCTGTCTTACCAGCCGAGAGAGGCAAGTCATCACATTCTGTAAGAATGAAGTCATTACGAAAAAAATCATAAAAAAAAATATCCACAGATAAGCCATCTTACAAAATACAGGACAACAAACTGCAGTTAAAGAAGACATTCCACTGATTTTTCAAAAGTGGTTTGCTGTGAAATGGTGCATTACAGAGATATAGGACTTAAATGACAACAGTGGTGACAGGAAACAAGATTCACAATGTCTATAACATTCATAAACATTTTATTTACTGTTCATACTATTCATTTTCATCACTATTTAAACTGTAAACATTCAACCCATAAACTTACTGGTAATTTTGACATTGAAACATTGTGTTTTCTTTTGGACTTGTTTGCCTTCCAACAACTTGCATGTATCTCTCCACACTGCATGTATTTTAAAAATTTGAAACATTTTAGTCTAAAGCTGTATCTTAAAGCTATCATAAAGCAGTGTATCAGGCATCAGGCAATACATTGAAAAAACATATTTGTGTAATACCTTTCTGTGAGCTACCTTTTAGAGCCACTATGAACAGTTCTGTTTCTCTTTAGTTTCTATTAAGTTTCTCTTGAACAGCACATTTCACTTCATTCTGAATTTAAACGATTGAGAATCTGTGCAATTCCTTTTCAGGGGGTTGTGAGTAACATTTAGAAAGGGATCGAGGCCTTCATCATACCATAGTGTGGATAAGCTCCAGTCAGCGCTGTAGTGTGAGAGATCCAAGCAGCAGGGTCAATGGGTCTTACAGGCTCCGCTGAGGAAAAGCCAAGAGAAAAGATATAAAAATACACACATCAACATGTTTTCATACTTAGATGTCCTTATACGAACAGTGACAATGGGTCTTATTTCACACATCAAATGATTAATGAGTAGATTATTAGATTTGTGGTAAATAGCACCCAAGAAAACAGCTGAGCTCAGCCTGATAAAGATGACAATGCTACTGAAGCATAAGTGTACCATATGCAGTACCTCTTGGGATGGTGAAGTAACTTCGAGGAGAGGGGTCCCAACACTTAGCCACAGTGAGACTTATTGGCCTGAAGAAAAGACATTCAGCAAAAGTCAGTATCTTTATCTAAGTGTGTCCAGAGTGGTTTAGTGGATGACTACAGCGGCTTGGATGCAGTGTCACTTACTTACCCAGGCTTAGAGACAATTTCCCGTAGAATTCTCACTGCATCGTCATTGCTCATATTCTCAAAGTTCACATCATTCACCTGCAAAAGCAGTACTCCAGTATCAATATTAACAAGTTTCATAATGTCCAAAACTAAAATGTGCTTTAAACAGTCATTTTTTGCATTGTGCAGCAGAGGTAATATTCAGATATATGCCACAAACCCAGTAGGAAACAAACAGGATCTGTATATAAAATCATATAGAAATGTATTTGAAATTTCACTACCAGTTTTACTACCACTGTATGTGAAACTGTCACATAGGAAAAAAAAGTACCCCAGTTCTCAACAGCCACTAAAATAAAATTCCTCGTCAAGCCAGCTGACAAATTAACAAAACCTTGAGGTTTCTGTAAATGCCAGAAAGTCAGCATTACAACAAAACACTACTAGAAATACTTCTACCTTTCAAAAAATGTGATTTTTACTTAAAAGACATACAAAATAGCTTTAAGGATTATATTTAAAGGGACATTTATATATTTTAATAGGTAATGGGTATTTGCAGTACAGTGCAAAAGTCAGAGACCAGCCTTCATTTATTTAACTTTATGTCAAAATGGCTACTAAATCAAAGTCATTCTTTTCCAGTTTTAGAAAATAAGCAGAAAGAAAATATTAAACAGAAAATTACACAGAAGCCTCAACAAGAAATATAATGTCAAATTTACTGTGTCCACACTTATAGTTTCTATTCTCTTCAGGAGACTTGCTTTTCAGTTTGTAATCTGTGGGGATATTTTTCCACTCCTCCAAAGCTCAGTTACAGAAGTTGGTTGTATTTTCTGCTTCTCATCAGTCCACTGTTGTGTGAACATCAGCAGCGTCTTTGTTTGATTTGTGGTTTTTCTTCTTTTTAATCTATTTCTTTTTCTCAGTAACAGCTTCTTGATAACTGCCCATCCTTTCAGACCCATAGCATTGAGTTTTCATAGTGGAAATACCTGTGGATTTTTTCAGATATGAAGCAAGAGTGGATCTTGGATTAAGTTAAAGGTGGACAATACTGCAAAAATGGAATGTCACGAAACTTTAAGAAGTTTTCACAACACGTCACGATGAATACAATGATTTCTACCAAACATTTCACATACTGTGCTGCAATAAATGCAACTAAACAAATAATTATGTTCTTTTTGTAGGCAAACATGCAGTTGATAAGTATTTTTATGTACTCACAATATCCACAATATGCTCAGAGAAGCATTTTGTGACATACTATGATGTAATTTGTCACAATAACAATAAACATTGTCATACTGCCCGGCCCTACTTTAAGAACTGTTTATCTGACGGTGACAGGTTTGGGGGTCTACCGGGTCTTGTATGGTTGTTAGGAGTCTCATTTTCTCCAGATTTTTAGATAAATGTTTGAACCTCAGTTTTGAAAACTCCTATTTTGCAGGTGGGTTATCTTCTATCTAATTTCCTCAGAAGTATCTCCTGAAAAATTATTAAGTTGTACTTAATGGCTGTTTGACTAGTATATAAATCTATGAAGGGAGGTCCCTGACTTTTGCACTGTACTGTATGTAGTTAGCTAAGTGTTTCTGTTATGTCTGCTAGTCTGCTTGTCTTACTAATAGCAAGTCACAGGATACGCAATCAGACTAGACTATGTCACTATTGTGCAGTATTTTGGGTTACATCATACATTTATCTTAAGAAACGAAAAGTTTCATAATACACAGTATTACAACATACATTTATATTCTGTTATTCATGCCCATTCTAGACCAGTAACAACACAACTGTGAATCATCTCAAATATGATTCAGCTACACTGTCATTTATGGCTGTTCCTAGATGATTACGCAGCCCTTACGTTGGTAAAAACTATACTGTAAATACAAGCACTACTGTAGACTGAGTAAGAGCCAGACGTCTGAGTGGGCAAGGCACAGACTGGTCACTGAGGCTAGTAAAACTGGGGAGCAAAATAAGATCAAAATGTCCTGAGTCAGGAAGGAAAAGGAGAGGCAGCAAAACAAACCTACAGCATGGGGCCAGGGGAGGTTAACATACACAAACAGCTAAAAAGCCATGAAAACGTCAAAGGCTTACTGTGAGACCTCGTAAAGAGCCGCTTCAGTCCAACCATATGAGCTGTGCTGTTTTTAGGCTCACTGTAAGACCCTCCCATGAAACACGATATTACAACTTTGATCATGACTGCTCCCATCGCAATAATAAGCATCTTCTCCTACAGTTTCTATTGTGCTGAACACAACCTGGACCTGGAGTGGGGGGTGTGTGTGTGTGTGTGTGCTATGTGACCTCAGGAGTGGGGGATGGGGAGTGGGGGGGTGCTGTGTGTCTTCTGTACAATGCTTTCCTTATACACTTATACATGTCCTGAGCAGCCTTTTCTACTCATACCTGAGAGATTTCAACACCGTAGTGACTGCTTTCAACAAACGACAGTGTCGACAAAGAAAGATTCAGCTTTGTCTGCCTTCTTAAGGTAAAACCAACAAACTTGAGTAAACCATCTCTGGTATGGACGGGTCAAAATTGGCCTACAGCAGCTGATTTTTCTGTGAGTGAATGAAGTTTTTCACTCACTTTGTTTAAACAACTTTAAACAAACAACACAACTGGCTAGATTTGTGGTTCCCAGCCTTGGTCCTGTTAGCCCCTCTGCTTTGCACATTTTACTGCTTTCTCTGCACCAAGCCTGTCCTGCGTTGCAGTGGGTTTGTCAGGGCAGTGAAAACACTAAAATATGCAGGGTAAGAGGGCCTCTAGGACCATGGATGGAAAACTGGGCTATAATTAATGTGTAGGGGCTGGGTGTGTGTCCTGAATTGCCATCAAGAGTAGGGTATCCCCCAAATTAAAGGGACAAAATTGAACCAGAGCGGGACTGAACCAGCATAGTCCTTAGAAGCACCACTTTTTACATGGGTGGACTCTCTCTGATGAAAACCGTTAAAGAGAATAGTGTAGTTGACTGTGTACCTGTAACAGCATGTCTCCAGGTTCAATTCGGCCATCAGCTGCCACAGCTCCGCCTTTCATAATGGAGCCGATATAGATGCCACCATCTCCCCGGTCATTACTCTGCCCCACTATACTGATGCCCAGGAAGTTATACTTCTCTGTGATAAAGAGGGATGGAAAAAACTTCAGTGTATACTGGGGCTGTTTGTTTTCACCATATTATTGTAATAGTTAAATATGCAAATGCTCTAACCAATCATATTGTATTTTCTTTGATTAATCACAGTTCCAGTTAACCATGTCATATTACTGAGTAACCAATGCAAAGTATATATACTAATCGCAATACATACAGTTACATGCAAAAGTTTGGGTGCCCCTGGTCAAATGACTCCACACGTGTAGACATTTTAATGCACATTACTGTTTACATGTCATTTTATATTTTTTTTTCAATGTTAAACTTATAAACAAATAAACAGACAAATAATGTTTATCAACTAATCAGAAATTGTGAACTAAAAATGCCATATTTAAGTTTGTTCTATGTAGAGGATGGATACTTATTTTCATTTCAAAATCAATCATGACAAGTTATTTGACTGAGGGTGTTCAATGTTTTGCATATGAATGTACCTATGGTAGTAATTATACCTCAATAGTAGTAATATGTCCTATACATACTCCAATAGTAGTAATTATAGTAATCCACACTGTGTAGCCCTGGTGTCGCATGATATATGAATGGTGACACAAGCCATAATCTGAGAAAATCAGACACTTTCTTTAAGAAGATGGGAAAGACTGAGTGGGAGGACAGGAGAGATACACATGTACTTACCCATGTTGAGTGTTACTGTAATAATGTTGAGGCTCATAGTGGAATCTGTTATGCTGCTAAAGGAGGACGACTGTGAAGAGAGGACACAAAAATCCCACTTTTAAATTGGAACACTTTCATATGACTACATTCACTTTGCATTTATTCTATATATAGTAGTAACCCACCCTGTCCATTTTGGCCACTTTCTGTCTCCTTCGCCGGCGCTTATGTCTGCGCATGAGTTGAGAAGAGGAGCTCTGCTCTGTGGAGCTGCTGAGCCTATACATCCATGCAAAAGTCAGAAATAAGACCAAGTAACACCACAGAGGTGTCACTTATGAACAGTATAGTCAATATATGTGTGAGCCTCCTTTTACTCTATGATTTAAATATGTTTGTTTAATAATCTCTGCAAAATGCTGCCTGAGATGTAAGAAGGGTCTGACCTGCTGGCATCCTCGTCTTCCTCACTGTCGATGAAGGAGCTAGATTCCAGCTCGCTGCTCATCATGGAGGTGCTGTCGTAGCCCATGGCTGAGTCCCGAATAACTCGCTCTGTCTTAGAGTGTCCGTTCACCCGGGGGACTGAGGGGGCAAACGGCATTGGGGAAGACTTTAGTCACAGATTAGATGATACAGAGACATTTTCACATATTCAGTGATCTTTGGGCTGTGCTTTGGAACACAAAAAACGTGTAAGAAGTAACTGTTGAGTTTTGTGTAACATCAGGAGATGAACAAGGACAGGCATCTCTTAAAAGGGGACAACTTCTTTGGCTGTTTAAAGAACAGATCATTAGAGTTCAAGTTTAAATAAGAAACAGGTCTGTTACCATCATGGAATTTTAGCTGACAGTTGCCATGTAAATTATTGTGATCAACAGTTGAATTTTTTTTTTTCACTGTATGCAAATATTAAAGTACAAGCCTGAAGTGGACAAATTGATTAATTACCTATCTCACTTTCTAGGCGTCTACACTTAGCAAAAGGGAACAACTCGAACTCAAATAAACAAACAAGACTCGCCGCTGCCCTCTAAATAAATAAAGGGAATTCCACCGATAACACTTCCGTATAATAACTTAGAACTCTTCAGACATCTGGTTCCTATCACCACCTTTGTGAGCAATTCTGACTCAGTTTCTCTAGAATTTCAAATCAGACAACTGTGAATACCTTTGTTTACATTTTAACGATGTAATTCCGCAGAAATTTTGAAAATTTTGTTTTAGCGCGTATGTGGGCCCAATGTTCAGATCCACTTTCATAACTACATAACTTACATATTAGTTTCATGCAGTTAACAAAGAATTAATAAGAGTTGCTGAGTGATAGGTCTTACAATATTAACAGAATATTAAGGCTAGGGATCAAGAGATTAAATGCAAACTTCTATTGTCGACAGTTTGCATGAGGAAGAAAAAAAAGTCAGGAGAACAATTAACTTTCCATCTGTAACATCCACCACTTCTAAGGAGTCTTGACTGAACAATTACAAGACTGAAGCATACATACAGAGACACACTCGCGGCTGCGATTCTGGGTGACATCGTACACGCTGGAAGGGTCTGACCATGCGAGGACGCTGCAATCGTCCAAAACACTCCAGCACTGCAGGTGTGGTCATTACTCCTCTGCGTTTCTTTGGAGAGCTGGCACAGCACAACCCAACACAAACATATACAAGGGTGAACATGCTGTGACCGTGTACTGCAGATCTAATCGCTCACTTATGTTTCAGTCTGTCACACTACACTGTTAAAATGCCAGTGGTACAAAGAAAACCATTCCGTTCTACGATGTGTGTGGGCTGGCCAGACAATGTTATCACCTAAGTGAAGAGCTGGTAGGTTGAAGCCTGCACTCAATGGACCAATGCGCTGTCAGCTGCCTGTCAGCACATTCATACAGTCTATGAATGAGAGGACTGGCCATTCGTTCCATGAATGCCTTGCTTAAGCAGAGCTTCAGTAAGGTCCTTTCACTCTCACTGACCTTGCGTCTCCCTCAACAGCTGCCTTTAACTGTGCTCGGAGCAGTCGGCTCCACTTCTTATCTGCAATGGAAGTGCTGAGAAAAGGATATGCAGAAAGCAGATGTAATCAATCCTATTGCGCCTTATGCGCAAGTGAGGAGATACAGCCTGCTTTAGTAAGATCCTTCAATATCTGGTCCCAGCGCGACTCTTAGAGCTTTCGATCTGATCTTATCAAACATGTTTGGTGTGATATGCAAAATTACAGTGATATTTTTAACTGTAATCAAAAATCTGGTTTGGGCAAAGCCATGAAGTAGATTGGTCACTGAGCAAGTTAGTGACTGGATATGGTCGTATGCAAAAGTTTGAAAATTACATGTTTTGTTTGATTTTTTCAGTGAAAATGAGTTAACACATCCTCTACAACCTAAAATGCAATTTTCTGCAAATTTTATTGCACAATTTCATTTTTTTTTGCTGAGTTTAACAAACATACAAATTGCAATGTGCCACAACTTTTGCACAGGTCACATTTTATGTTTGTTTTCAATGTTTCAAATCCAGCATATAAACAGTAACTGATGTAGGAAAGGGTGCTGAAGTGTGTTCTCTGTAGAGTATGTGGACTTATTTTAACTAAAATCAACAAAACATGTCATTTAACTGGGGCACCAAACTGTTGCATATGACTGTATGACTTCTGCATCAGGACGTTTGCTACCAGCAGAATATGAATATATATCTCATTAGAATTATTTACGCAACACTAAGCACACAAAATATATGTCAGTGCACTTCAAAGAGAGTTAAAATGCATGAAAAATGCATGATACTCCTTGTGCAAAATGAAAATATCCTAGGTAGTGCAGAAAAGCTTTAGACAGCAGCATAGAGACAGGTCTCTCATTGAAACCAAGCACTGATCAGTCTCATTTGCATAATGTAATAAACAGACTATGGTCAGCAAACAAATCACACAACACAAAATCAAAGCAGTACAAGCTCGTGAGACCAGACTGTGAAAAACTGTGACATATCAATTTTACATACAGTAGCGTCCAAAAATGTTTGGAATCACGATTTTCAATGATATTAAACCCATTAAATGACTGTAATGTCATGCCATTACTCTACAACATCACTGGCCTCAAATAATAATCGACTATATATAAAATATGTAAATAGTAAGCTGTACACAATGAAAAAATGTTAAATGAAAGACTGAGAAAGTTGTAAAACAAAAGAATGAATGTCCAAAACATGCCTCATATTTCAATAGTGGTGGTCATATATCTCAAGGCAGACTACAGTAGCTATATTAGACAGTTACAAACAGACAGTTACAGTATATTGTTTATGTTTCGTAACTTAGTAGTGTTCCCAAAATACTTGAATACACTATTTCAAAATGTCTAGTCTACAATATTTAAACATACATACGTAGGTGATTCCAGTCTTTAGAGAACAGTACTGTAGCTATTTAAGTGACTGATGAATATGAAGTAATTGGAAAATGAAACGACACGTTGTTTTTATCCCTTATGAAAAAAGATCCACAAGATTCCTGTGGTGACCGTTTGGTAACTGTGGTAAAGTAAAAGGCTATAGAACACTATTAAACAGGAGGTGAAAATACTGTAGATTGGTATAGAGATGTTTTACAGCACTAAAGCTCCTTATAGCATTATTTATGCTAAGTTTCCTGTGGAATCACAAAGTAACAAAACGCTAAGTGAAGTAAAAACACATTCATTCAAAAGCAGCAATCGTCGCATTTTCTGCTGTTACCAAACCCTGATTAATGGTCGTTTTACTCGGTTATCGGTTGAGGAGTCATCGCTGAATAAAGCTGTCTTACCTGTGGAGCTGCAGCGGCTGCGCGTGCACGTCTCTCTCAGAGAAACTGGAGCAGTGAACGCGCTCTGCTCAGGGCAGCTCGAGCAGCACGCGCCGCGCGCGCCCCCTACAGGAACTATGACGAAACGCTATTCAGACTCAGAACTCCTTACAGCAGAGGAGCTGTGGTGCTGGAGGGCCGGAGTCCAGCACAATTTGATGATTTCTCTGCTCAAACACACCTGATACCACTCATCAGCTAACTGCTAGCTCTGTAAGAGAGGGGGAATCCTCACAGTGTGCTGGACTCCGGCCTTCAGATCCCCCCCACTGCACTATGGCCTGTGCAGTTCACTATGTGTGGTATCATCCAATGAAACAAAAGAACTTAGGTTATTATTCCAAGTTGGTCTTACAGCAACCTCAGAATTAGCATCAACTGGGTCAGAAACAAGGGTTCCACACCTCTAAAAGTGATGCAGCAAAATATGTTGGTTCTTAAAGGGTAAAAATGTTCTTGTGGAACTGCAGCTGACTGACAAATGACAAAATTCTCTGACAGACAATATCAGTGGCTATAATGACCCCAATTTCCCAATAAACCTATTCATAAACAGTGTCAATGTATGTTTTGACCATTCAAGGGGTGGGCGACATGGAAAAAACATATCATGATAACTCAAGATATTTCACACTATACACATCATAATATTTTGGTTTTCTGAGATTTAATAAGTTGGAACAAACAACCTGGAACCTGTAGTGCCACATATACTAATAATAATAATGATAATGATAATAATAATAATAATAATAATAAGAAGAAAAATAAATCTATAACTACAATAACTTTGCACTGCACATAAACTAATTAACCAGGCCAAATTGTGTTCACTTTGTAAGTAAACATAGTCAGTGTTACTTCAGTACTGATGATATTCATGATATATGCAAAAAGTGTACTGACATAATTTATCATTTACAATAATCACGATAACAATAAAATATTGTCTTATTGCCCAGGTTTACTGGGTTCCACCAAAGTCCTTACATTATGATGGAGGAGGAGACAGTTCACTGGTTGAAAGATGATAACGTTCAACATGGCATCTGTTTATGGGGAAAGCCCCTTCGGCTTGTTGGTAAAGCAACAAGCCTCAGCCGAACCTTTCTGACAATAGACATGTTTTTATGTGGTATTTGGACCAAATGCTACAGACTATTTGTACGATTTTTGCCAAATTTTACCACTGACTGTAAATAGGTTTTGGAAACATTAATGTAGCTTTCAGCTTTGTGGTTTTAAGTCTCTCCACATTCAAAAAGATGGTGGAAAAAACTGCCCTCCTTTATCATGACTTGGATTCAGCTCAGATAGTAAACTTTGCTAGCTAACATCTCTTGAGAACATCAAATTGTGGTTTAGCAAAGTAGCAGTTAGAAATATTGAAACATCTAGTACATTTCATATAGTGCAGAACAATATTTTTACATTTTTACCCAATCAGTAAGCTGCAGCAGTCCTCTCACTGAACGTTGTTTGGGAGTTTTTTTTTACAATGTTTGATGTCTTGAAATCAATTAAAAAGTGCTGGGGCACTTTGAACAGTGGTGGGTCAAATGCTTGTATGCCAAATGTTTCTGGCAGCCATAGTCAGAAAGCAAAACACATTACTGTCATTCATACTCAGACAAACTGGACCATCTATGTCCCATAACAGTTCTATATCTTTTAAGAAAAGATCTGTCAGCTACATTCAATGCCACGTCATGATATCTTTAGATTACAAGACTGATGGCAATTCTTTGGGTAGACGCCTTTCGCACTGCATTATGGCGTACACTGCAAATTGCAGTGTATATAATCTGTACAAGACAATTTGCAGTGTATGCTGTCAATAGTGAGCTACATAGGACATTTACCAGTGAAACTTCAAGCTTAAACCAGTGGTCACCAACCCTCCTCCTGCTGCCCCCTCCTACCCAGCATCTGATCCAGCCAATGAAAGACTTCTGAAGAACTTAGTTAGCTGGAGCAGGCGTGTCAGACTGTGCTTTGAACGAGACTGCAAGAAATGAGATCTCCAGAACCAGCTTGGTGACCACTGACTTCAATGCTCTATTTCTCCAATAATTAGAAATTCTAACCGCAGCCTTTCTCCTCACAGATGCTCCAAACAGCTGAGATGTGTGACAGATCCTACCTATGCCATCCCAATGCTTAATACACCACTGCTTTCACCCCAACAGCAAACAGTGAATTCATGTTGATCTGTTTGAAAAAGTTACTAAAAAGCCACGGTAAGGCTTACATGTCAAGATTTATCACTAGATCTTTACAGGAATGTACAGAGAACAAATGAAACTGTAGTCAAGATAAATTCCATTACTGCTCTGGGTAAACATTCAGTTGACAAAATTATGTCTCTTCTCAACTTACAAGCTTAGATGGTTTCCTCAAACTGTAATTTGATCAGAAATACTGGAAAATAAAAAAGCAAGCTCACATTTTACAATTATCCTGTCAAGCCAGAGCAATAAAACAATAAATTCAGCCTGTCATTTTGAAAACAATCTGTGCTCTCTCTCTCTTTCAGTAATCTTTCCAACTGGTTCCCAAAGGGCTAAAGGGGTAACTATGTTTCTTTAGTACTGACAGTTCAGGAAGGTTAACGACTGAGTGCCTGAGGCATGGAAACAGATATCCCCTCATACACTCCCCCTGCCCCTGGGCTTCACACCTGTCCAGTCCCAACACTAAGCAGCCCTGCATTATTCATATTCATTCATCACTTGCTCCTCAAGACCGAGGCAGCCTTTCTGCTCTAAACCAATGACTAGCAAGGAGTTTGAATGAGTACTACACATGCTCTTGTATGAAAAAAACACATTTTTTGGTGTTATCTAGAGGAATAATGGAATGACTTCTAATGAATGATGCTCACTTACAGACCCAGTAAAGAAAGAGATAAGAAGGCCAGATGTACACAGTGATAGAGGATCAGCAGCACATGACTGACTATTTCTGGAGAAAGCTCAGGGAGCTCAGGGAACTGACCTGACACATCTCATGCGTTCCACATCCATCCACTCAAATCTGCTTAGTATAAGAGATACAAATGCAGCCTGGATATATGTTTGTCCCACATGTTCCACTCACAAACATGTTCTTTCACAGCAACTGTTTCAAGGTTGCACACGCTTTACAGAACAGTGGCGAAAATTAAGCTCGGATGATGATGTAAATTTAGACAAACGATTATTTTCTGCAGAATCACTGCGATCCACATTGTTACAAAGTACCATGTAAGTTTCACAGTGTTGGTAAAGTAATTACCATGTAATTACCAGCTGGACTCTTATATCACATTATGATTTATAATGATACCTACATTCTGCATAGACAGCATGTAAAACTGTTAACAACCAGTTCTGTGTGTTGGAAAACAAAATATTCCCAAACAGGTACATTGTTGCTCTTTGCGTACAAGCTAATCCATTTTGTGACTTTTCATAAAAATAAATATTACAAATGAATAAAGCACTCTATATTTCCATATTTTAATAATAAAAACTTGAGGTGTATGATACAGTTTTCCAATAAACCGAAGGAAGCAAAAAAGATTTGCAAGAGGTTGTACTGGTTTACAGAAGCACATAGAACTCCTTAAATAGATGCAGACCATTATTGAAGCTTTTTTGGCTGTTCCAACCAAATATTTAGAGAAATTAAATATTGCGATGCAAATTGTGCATCTAAAAAATGTCTTGAAACATTCTGATATATATCTTGATATTATGATGATAAATATACTGCATTCATAGCCTTGAAATGAACATCCATGTTTTCTCAGCTAGATACATTTTCCTTTTTGCACATTAGTCTCTTACACACACACACACACACACACACACACACACTCCACCTCTATCATTATCTACTGCTGCTAATGAAGTCACACTACAGAGTCTCTCACTAATGAGCTCCCAGCTGCCTGCAGGAATAGAGAGAAAGATGAAAAATCATTACAGTTATGCGGTTGGGTTAAGCAGCGCGCAGGCGCTCTTTAATGAGTGAAACAGCACATACTGCTCTGACTGAGTGAGTTTAAACTCTCAGGCCGCTGGACACAGACACAAGAAAAGAAGGAATGTCTAAATTATAGACATTCAAGACACAGGTGGGAAATAGTTAGCAAAGCAAACATGGTCAGCATTGTTTCACATGAGGAGAGTTTCTAAATGGCCAGGACATTCTTTACTGATGAGAGAACTTTCTCTCACTGCTGAAGAATACGCTTTCATCTTTCACCATGAACTCCCTTTAAACTGAACACACCAGGTGCTCATTCAAGAAAATAAGTATTCCATAAGTTATCAGACTGAAAACAAACACAGGACTTTTGCAAATAACTACAGAATCTTAATAGGAACTGATCGTAAAAATGCCTAATCTTACTGTGCCTGCTACAGTCAGAAAGGATTTTAAAAGCAGAACAGAGAGTTTCAGAGGCTAAACCTAACTAGGAAATTCGAGAAAGCTTCTTGGATGGGAGGTAACGTAGGCTACACGTCCAAGTACTGTTTTGACTGGCAGCTCTCTGACCTCTCAGTTCCATTAGAGGCCAGTTTATTTAGTTCTCTGTTGAGTCTGGAGTCTAGTTCTGGAACACGTCACCTTCAACACCACTCCAGGGGAAAATACCATCCTATATATATATATATATATAACTAAAAAAACTACACCCTATCTTAACAGTGTGGCTTTTTAACATAGAGAAAATAAATCTATTTTAAATTAATAAGACTCTCTAAACTACTGTATTTATTTATTATTTTATAAAAAGTGAGGGGCGTGCTACAGTTTTCCAATAATTTTGTAATTTGTTTGCCAACATTCTCAAGTTCAAGTCCAATCAAGCAACAGTTGCTTAAAAGGTATGCAGTTGTGGGCAGGGCATGGATAAATCTATTATACGTGGGCTATTAAAAGATGCCGAAAAGCATAACTTAATATGACTGCGGGCTGAGTACAAAGGTTTAGATCATTCCTCTGACAGTTGAATATCATATTTACAGGCTGGAAATGAACTCCCATGATTTCTCAGCTAGACAGCCTTCTTGGATTGAAGGCATTGTAGGTTAAATATCCAAGTACTATTATGACTGGCAGCTCTCAGACCTCTGGGATCTATTAGCAGCCAGTATTTTGTTAGTTCTGGAGCATTTCAACTACAACATCAATGCTGAGGGAAAAGGAAAGCAGCTTTATTATATGACCAAAGAACTACACTTGATCTGTTTTATAGGTTAATTCTATAGATTTTTTTAAATTTCTGTATTAAGTCATTAGGATGTAAACAAAATCATTCAGAGTGGTTTGATGTGAAATGTGCAGTTCTAGAGAAACTAACAGAGTCAGAATTGTTCACAGTAACAGTGATAGGCTCCAGCCATTATCAACATTACATATATGGAAAGTCATAAGACACGTAGGTTCACTGGTTTTGGATAGTACATAAAATGGCTATATTTGTGTTGTAAACATTGTGACTCCTGGTTCCTATCAGCACCACTGTAAAATTGGTAAGTTTCTCTACAATGAACGCTTTTACATGAAACCAGTCTGAATGACTGTTTACATCTCAATGTTGAAAATTTAGAAAAATTGGTGGACTTCCCTTTTAACAGTGTGACCTTTCACTAACATAGAAAAGTAGTCTAAACCTCGGTGTTTTGGCATTTTGACACAACACTGAGGTGCCACAGGTTTAGATGATAAATAGGATTAGGTATCATGTCATCTCTATAAAGTATAGTTATAAATGTTTATTGAAGTCCTCTAAAAGACGCACATCAAATGTACAGGTTTGAAATGAACACTCATGATCTCTTAGTAAGACAGGTTTCTTGGATTTAGGTCAAATGTTCAAGTATTTTGACTGGCAGCTCTGCAAGCTCTGAGCTCCATTAGCGGCAGTCTGTTTTGTCCATTAGTAAGTCTAGTTCTGGAATGTGACTGTTAGCAGACAATACTCCTATAACCTGCAGTCAGTCCCTTTGAAATGATGGCTGTCCTTGACGCTCCTTCTCCAAATGTTTAGCAGCTCTGTGGTATGTATAGAGCTCTGCTGGGTGATATATGATACATGGTTTATTGTTCATGGATGGAATTTTTCACTGTGTACTGGGAGTCACTTACACTTGTTGTCCCGTGCCCTGCGGGCCCTCTCCCGCTCCCTGCGCTGGCTCAGGAGAGACTCTGTCCCCGTTTCAGTGTCCAAACCATCCCGACTGCTCACTGCATTGGCGCTGAAACGAACACACATACAGAGGTCTCAGTGAAACCACATCAAAACCACCTACACTAAGCCTGCCACGAGGCACATTTACCATGTCCTAATAATCCACAAAGAAAACCCTGAAAATCCCCCTTCTTGTGACTAGCCATGGTTAATTTGCACCATGAAAAAAAGTTTCACTGTTGACTCATTCAAGTATAGGCTTATTATGCTTAGTAATAGTGATCTATTCACAATACATAACACTAATAATTGAAAATATCAATCTTACAAAGAACAGAAGACATATAATAATGTTAGTAATAATACTAGGTTTAGTTTTATAACACTTTAAGGTTTAAGTTCTTGATACCAATTGGAGTTCTTGAGCAAGACTTGTAACATTATGTTCACTGACCACTGCAAGTTGATATGGATAAGAGCATCTGTTAAATACTGTATGTAAATTGTCTGAAAAAGCTGCCATAGTTTACACTTCTCAGTTCACACTTGCTTCCTGTTAAGTTCAGCATTGAGTACCAGGTCTTTTCTTACTCAACTGTCGAAGCATTCGAGTCCATGTTGTCTGGATCATTTCGCTAAGCTGAGGTAAGCTTGCTGCAAACTCGTAGGATCACTTACACAATTTTCTCATGTTGCTCCTAAACTCTGGAATAGCATTCCAGAGAATATTAGGAATGCAAACTCAATGGATGTTTTTAAATCCAGATTAAAAACATATTTGTTTACACTAGCACATCGATGCTGTTGGAACAAAACCTTGTATCATTTTTGTACCATTTTTGTCGTTTTCCAGTTTTTGACATAATTTGAAGATGCCTGTTGTCCTTTACATTGTGTGTAAATTTCATGATTAATAGACCAAAAGAAATGGACTTGGAAAACGTCTGGTTCCATTGACTTACATTAAGAGTAAAGTATGTTTTTTCCTTCTCCTGTAAAGTTACCATTTTGGAGATGCAAGGTTTTGTTCCTAAAACAGGGATATGCTTAGTATTGCAGCTCATTTTCACCTGTTTATAATTGCGCTGGCCATTTATTTTCATTTAGAGGACAGTGTTTTTATCATTCGAATGTTTTACTTGTATTACTGTGTAATTTACTAAATAACTGTGTAATGTAACTAAAATAAAAAGATATAAATAAATATAGTACAGTATAGTATAGTAGTAGTACAGTATAATTTATTGTATAGTACAGTATAGTATAATTTACTTTATAAAGCTTTATAGAATTTCTCTAATAGAGGTATATAGACCATATTTACAGGCATGAAATTCAGCTAGACAAATTTCTTGGATGGGAGGCGATGTCGGCTACAATCCAATTATTTTCTGAATGGGCAGATCTCTGACCTCTGAGTTCTATTAGTTCTGTTTTAAAATGCCAAAAATTACAGTTATCAATTACTGGGGGCCGATATTCAACACAATAAGGTGTTAATTACTTGTTACCATTATTTGCCAAGAAATGCCGTATATATGCACCCCTATATGTGAGACCCACTCTGGGGCTCAGTCTCCTGCAGCACTGGAGGTGGACTGAGGGACCAGCAAAGAGGTGTGCAGAGCTGCAGTACAGTGTGAAGGAGGCGTGTACATGTGTGAGGATGTGCCGAGAGGCTGGTTATTCTATCAGAGCAAGTGGAATGCTTTTGCTCGAGGCAGGAGAGAAACCTGAGGCTGGTGAGAACTCTATCTCTGAGTCTCTGCAAAAACTCACACCGGGTGTTAAAAAGCTGCCAGTGATCTTACAGAAACTGCACACTGCAAAGTTGATCAAGTGGAACAGGACTGCTATAAGACTGACTTAATACACAGTGCTGCGCAAAAGGCTGACTCTGCCCTTCATTTCCAGTCAAAACAGTCACTGAGTACAGGTTATTTTTTAGCAGATATCTCTGAGGCGGTCAGATGAAGATATAAAGAAAGGGAAAATGAAAGAAAAATGAGTGTGGGAAAAGTTCCAAACCTGATTAAAAGATACAGAGAAAATGGGACTCCTGACAACCATGCAAGACCTGGTAGACACCAAAACTGTCCCCATCAGATAAACTGCATTTAAAGTTTCATCTATGAGAGAGGAGAAAATCAAGCTGCTTCAGATCTGAAAAACAATCCACAGCCGTTTCTGTCCATCCTTCCACTGTGAGAAGACAACTCAACACTATGAGTCTGAAAGGATGTGTAGCTGGAGGAGGAGAAAATATACCAGCAGATGTCTTTAAAAAACTGAAAGCAAGAAAAGAATGAAAGTTAAAAAAGTGGACACACTTAAAGCTGAAATAAATTTGATGTTGTATTTAGCTGTTGGGGCTCTGTGTAATTTTCTGTTGTATATATCGCCGTTGTTGGAACAAAACCTCATATCTCCAAAATGTTAACTTTACAGGAAAAGGAAAAAACATACTTTGCTTTTAATGCAAGTCAATGGAACCAGACTTTTTTCCAAGTGATTTTGGACCATGTCTTTTCATCCATTCATCATAACATTTACAAACAGTGTGAAGGGCCACAGGCATTTTCAAACTATGTCAAAAACTAAGAAATGGAGATACAATGTTTTGTTCCAACAGCAATGATACGTTTCCTGCATTTTTCTTGGCACTGAAAAATTAATAACTTAACGGCTGTTTTGACTGGAAATTACAGAAATGAAGGGCGGTCTCTGACTTGGGCACAGTACTGTATAACATTTGGATCTTCATTTGTTATTGAAATGGTTCTGATAGCATTTAAGCAGATGGATGACCTCCAGCTACATGGATTACAGTTTACTGGAAGGACAGAAATGACAAAAACAAAGAAGATATTGAGGAAAGTCAAGGTGAAGGAAACTTTCTCTATGAACACATTCTGAATCTTCTTGCTATGACTTGGCCACAGTGAGGTGGTGTCTCTCTCTGGTGGATGGAAGTTGCTATTTCACCTGATTCTGGGTTATGGCTATAGAAGAGTCAACAAACTTAAGCCACAGCAGAAAACATCTATATAAATGATTTAGTCTAAATGTGCACTTCTAGATATAAATGTAATCCATTCAATAATACAGAACATTTCACAGTAGATTACTACTATAACATACTAAACAAACCTATTATTTACTCCCTCATCCTCAGTCTGAAATACAGAACCAAAATCATCATTTTTAACCAAGAATGATCAGCATAAAGCCTCCTCCTCATTAGCTTGCAACATAATCCTCCCTTCTTTCTTTAAAGCTCATTGCTCATACTGTGTATGCACAGTATTCATGTCATTGTGTATCTAAAGCTTCTGAGTTCCATGAAGGCAGGGGGTGGCAGGCAGGCAGGCAAGCAAGGGGGGACAGGCGGCTCGATGCTGGGGAAGATTAAGGCAGCTGTAGCACCCTGCTGAGTCCTCAGGGTAACGGAGATGGGTGCTTTTAATGTCCGCTAATCCGGCTTAGCCGCTCAGGGACGGCCAAACACCTATTCTCCTCATCCCTCCAAATTTATTCACCAGCACCAATGAATAATACATGCCACAAAAGAGAGCGAGCCAGAGATAACATTTGGTTATTTACTGATGCTTACTGTGTGGTTTTGTAATGGAAATAAGGGAGATCTACTGTGGGTAAAAACGCACAACTGGGAATCCACAGAATTAAGCTCCAGGAAAATTGGCCAATAGCCTTTTGGAGTGATGGCAAAAGGAAAAAAAAGGCCTTGGAAAATGGGAGGAGATGTGAGGGTAGCCATTTCAAACCACACCACTAGATGGCAGTGAGTACTACAGGAAATGGTTTGGAGTGCTTCAACTATGTGTTTGAGAAAGTTAAGCACTAACTGGCCCACAGAGGGCAAAAAAGAGCCGGAAAGTTCAACTCAGCACAAAGAGACGGGATCATTTTTTTTCCTGAGGTCTCTCTATGACAGTTGTGTGGCTTTATTTACCAAAGGAATCATAATTCATTTTTCCTTGACCATTTTGTTTGTCCCTTAGAAATAAACAAGGTGTTTCTGTTACTGTACCTTAATGTGGCAAGACAGCCTAAAACGAGCATTTCATTTGTTATTTGTCATGCTATGCAATATTCTGTAGCAACATTATATCCTTCAACCTAAACAGTTTCACAGAATTTTGTGTTTTCGTCCATTCACATACTTTCACTACAATACCCTGCATGCACTACTCACATATGTAATACATCCATAGTGAATCCCTCCCTTGCTTCGTCCACTGATTCAGAGGCTAATAAATATAGGTGTGATATATGGCTTTCTAGCAGTAACAGTACCTATCTGGCTTCATTCTGAATTAGCCAGAAAAAAAACATTGCAAACATGTATATGTGATCCAAGACACTTTAGTTTACCAAATGCTTCTCCCACCTTCAAGATACATCATCAGAATGGAGCTTTCTTAATCATTAAAGTAGTAAATCTCACTCTTAAGTCTACCGTGGTACTAGTGAAGCAGGTGAGTAGGCATGTTTAGTTAAATTTTTGGTAGTAGCGCCAATTAAAAATGACATATGCAAATTACCCCTGTTCTCATTGGCTGACCTGCATGCAAAAAGCAGTTGCTTTCAAAAAGTAGTCCAGGATAAGACATTCCTTCTAATTTCAATGTGAATGGGCGGAGCTAAATTGCTGTAGGCAGTTATATGTAAATTGATTTGTTTATGTGACTTCACAAAAGCAACGACTTCAAATGGCTGCTTTTTCAACTTAGTTTCTATATATGATCTGAAGAGTTTTGAAACTATACACATATTTTCAAACTCTTTTATTTCAAAGAAGGTGAGAAAAATTTGTTTTCGGTCCCTTTAACTCAGCATAGATCCCAGATTGACTTGCACACACACAGCTGAAAAACACCAGCAGCCCCTAAAGCATCGCAATCGGAATTAACTTTGCATTTATTTAACTATAAAGAGAATGCCTAATGCTCTGTGTGCGGTGCTAAAATCAAAGGTTTATGCTGAAACAAACAAGCTTCATTGCTTTGAACTAATGATGTAACACTCAGCTCCGATTGACTGTTGCTTTCTTCACAGCTAATGGAGTACGGCCCGAGCACTGTCTGTGTCCAAATACAATGGGAAAACTTCACTGCTCTTATCACCCTGACAATGTTTACATTAGCGGGACTATTTCTGTCCTCGGCCTGAGGGCACCTGGAATTTGCAGACAGTTATACAGATGGGAGAGTTATGGTGCGTACAATTGGGTAAATGAGCATATGAGTGCTGGCAGACACACAGAGACACGCACACAGACTCATGTGGCAGTAGCATGCTCTGTGTACAAGAGGCCCCTGAGATGAGAGCAGCCTTTGGGCTTTGATTCATACATATGGCTCTGAGCCGGACAATAACTAGATCTAGCCTCCAGCTGGCCAGGAGACATCTGCTACTGCAGTGGCGGTTGCGGTCAGGGGTTCAGAGAGGACAACGCTAAATCAGCTGTTTTGAGATGCTTATCAGTGTGTTTGTGGCTTATATAAGTTATTATAAAAAACATCGTCTTGCTCAATCGTGACTTATAGCCTAACAAAAGTCTATGTGTCAATATACTTCTAATTTCTACAAAGTCACTGTTTAGTTAGTGTTTCCGTTAGCTGATAATCTGACCCATAAAACGTCCTCAATTCCAAAAAACGAAAAACTTGGGACAGAACATGAAACGCAAATAAAAGCAGAAAGCAGTGATTTGTGAATCTACTTTGACCTGTATTTAAACAAAAACAGCACAAAGGCAAGATATTCTAGTTTTACCTTATCAGCTTCATTGTTTTTTGTAAATATAGGCTCATTTTGAAATGAATGCTCGGAACACATTCCAAAAAGTTGGCAGTTTAGGACTAGGAACATTGTGAAATGCTCCAAAAATATCCTAAACAGGTGATGCAATCATGTTTGGGGCACCAGAAGATACAGGGAATTCGGGGAAAGGGCAAAGCCAAAAAACCATGGCCATGATCTTTGATCCCTCAGATGGCTCTGCATTAAAACCAGCATGCTTCTGTGATGGAGGTTATCACATGGGCTCAGGAATACTTTGACAAACTGCTGTTAATAAACACAGTTAATCACTGCATCCACAAATGTAAGAATAACTGTTTTAATGAAAATCGTGCAATGTTAAAAAAAAAAGCATATAAAATAAAAGTAGAATAGAAAGTAGGTCAAAGCTGTACGACTGTGTGTATTGGGTGGGGGCACGACCAAAATTTTAAACTAGAAAATATTGTTATAATTACTTTTAGGAAACGCCCAGGCCTACTGTTGAGTTGACATTACACTTTGTTTACAGAATTAATGAACCTAGTGTTCTCTGAGCCAAGAAGAGAACCATACAGATTGCCACCATAAAGTTTAAAAGTCAGCGTTGTGGTGTGGGGGTGTATTAGTGCCTATGGCATGGGTAACTTGCACATCTGTGGGGGCACCATTATCTCTGAAAAATACATATACATTTTATAGCAAAATATGCTGCCTTCTGAACGACGTCTTTTTCAGGGACGCCCCTGCTTATTTCACCATGACAACACCAAGCCGTGTTCTGCACATGTTGTAACAGTGTGGCTGCGAATTAGAGAGTGCGGGCGACTGCCTGGAGTCCTCATCTCTCTCCCATCAAAAACGTGCCACATTATGATTCGGAAATTATGATTTGTGCTTATGATCTTTTGTGAGAAAACACAGAAATGTGGACCAAAAAGCTCAGTTTCTCCTCTTTACTGCTCAAGCCGCATCACTTTAGTTTAAAACTGGAAAAATGCTACAGCTCTGCATCTCAAACTGCAAGAAACTTTAGATATATTTGATAAAGACTTTTAAATTCATTTTCATAGGTTTATGTACCAAAAACAGTCAGAATCGTTTTTTCTTGACCCCATTTTAAACTGTTTTTATCTTTTAAAATTAAACAGGCTGTTTTTTGTTGTGCCTCATTCAAAAAGCAGTTCAATATAAAAAAATCAACATAAAAAACATGACTGGGGCTAAACTCCTGCAGGCTGAATAGATGGATATATGTAAACATGGTTTTCCTGACATCATGGAAAACAGTGAATTCAAAACAGGCTGGTTTTGCAGCTTTGTTTGTATATAAGGACTGTCTGGACTGTATGGACTGTGGAGTGAATGATACATTTTGAAAACTGTATTTACACACTACATTAAACTATTTATGTCATACAAGTGCAGGAAATTCAATTTCCAGTGATGTGGGCCCTTTAAGACAGCAGAATCTGTGAACACACAGAGAAAATACACAGCAGCCATTCCAAAAGCCAACAAATATGCTTGGGTTAGCAAAGACTTTTTATGGGATGAGTAATGCTCAAACTAGCCTATCCTGTCATGGTTGTCCGGCCCATTTGTCCGGCAAACTGAATCATTGCCTGGACACCATGACCAGCACCAAAATTTCCTAGCGGAAACTCTGACTTCAGCAACACTTAAAGTACAGTGGATCTATCAAATCTAGAAAGTCTTGATCTTTTATTGACATTTTTTGTCATTAAAAGCCTTTTAAAGGCAGTTTTAACTTAACAGCCTGGATCTTGTGGGTTGTGTTTTAATTATTGTACAATTCTCTGCAATTATGCCTTGTTCGATTTTTATTTTGAAGTTATTTGGTCATAACCAATTATAATAAGCTATTATGCACTGTCAGAAAAAAGTATTGAAAGGAACACATTATACTAGAAAACGATACTAAAAGGAACATATGTTAGGGAAAATAATTGTTATTAAATGGTACAAATAGTTAAATTTCCCCTGGGACAAACTTATTTAAGGAATTCAGGTGGATCTTAAGACCACTGTTGTACCTTTGAGGGTACATTTACATTGTACATTACCTTTTTTCCACCAGTGTGGTTTTCTATATTTTATTATTGCATAAACAGGTTATCCATACGTTTTCAGCGTAATTTTAAAAACAATTCAGAATGGCAACAAAATAAAAGAACTGAATCAAACTGTGCTGAGATTTATATCCTGAATATGCACTGACTTGCTCATGTGCATGTAGCATCATTATGTGATGCCATGAAGTGATACACTGTAGACCCAATAAGACTAGAATAAAAGTTTAAACACTATGGCTTAATGAGTTGCGCTTCAGTGAATACTTACTGAAAGGAGGGGGGTCTGGAGTCTCCGATGCCTCCTGTTCTCTCCAGCGGGGGCGGCAGCTCAGGGTGGCTCTCTGGGCACTGAGATCCGCCGTCTGAGTGTGTGCTCTCAGTCAGCACCAACTACAGCCAAACAAACACACACACACATATAAGACAAAGATCTCAGGAAGAGCTTCTCCACAGTGCCTATGCGCTAACTCGTGGCCATGCATAAATAAGCAATGCAGGAAGAGCGACTAGAACAGAATGTGTTAATTGAGCAGGGAGGAGCGTGAAGCATAAGAGCTTATGCAAAACGACCTGCAGACACAGGCACTGTTATGTGCTTTCTTCAGCTAAATAATGAGACTTAAACGGGCATACCTTGGGCTATTTTACACACTTAGCCACTATTTTACACATCTAATAACCCACTTCTGGACATGGCCAGATTCATAACAAAAACAATTTACAGAGAGCAATGTGGCTCTTTATTAAATTCTCAGTTGTTATTCTTCAAAAGTTTGGAGTCATATTAATTGTTTTGATTTTTATTTTCAACAATAAGTTATACAATGCATGTTTAAGGCCCAATTCCATTTATCCCCTTGGCCCTACCACTCAGTCCTTAGCCTACCGTGTTGCGCATTCACGCCTAGGGGTGGGTGTCCTGATTTTTGTTGAGATGGAGGTGTAGGGTGAAGTGTTAGGGCTACATGGCCCTTCAAACTGAGGTTTTTCAAAGGCTCACTCAAAACAGAGTGTTATGAGAAAAAAAGAGAAAATGGCTAGATGGCTGCACGAGCGACCAAAGAAACCCACAAATGTGAGTATTTCTCTGTTAAAAAATTACGATAACCACTGTATTATGTTAGTTTAATGTTGTTTCAATGTATTTTGGTCCTTTTCTTCATGACAAGTATAAAAAATCGCTAATAGCATGCTAATGTCTCTGTAGCTAGCTAACTTTCCCGTTCCACCTTAAATAGTCCAGCAGTTCTGACACCTTAAGCGCCAGAATGTAACTGCTACTCCATTTTAAGTGGAACAAGAAATTTCGAACAAGAAGCTGGCGAATAGCTGACTTCAGATTCTTATCACCAAAGAATGAAGGGTGGGCGATAATTATTAATTGTTTCATTCCCCTCTTTGAAAGCATATGAATCCCTAAATGTAACTAAATATTACTGCTCCTCTGCTGTCACTTTAGACTGGCAGCGTAGCCTGCGGAGCACTGCTAGTAGCCTGTTAATGAAGTAGTGCTCTTTTTTATTTAAGGGTTGTGCCAATTTGTAGGGCAAGATTTCAACCACTACCCCTTTGTAACTTAGTTCCAAGGGGCAAGATGACACTCAAAAACAAGGAGTAGGGGTAAAAATAAGAAATGGGATTGGGCCTAAATATTATAAACTGGACTCCAAAGGCCTCATTTATATCATCATCACATATAACATGTGAATTTGATAAGGAAATGTTAATAGGTCAGCACAAGTTTCCAATCTAATATACCAACATTTTACATTGGTAATGTCAGCGTGCTACAGGAATTAGATGGTGCAACTGCATTTTACACATCATTACCTTGAGAACAAATTTAATCATGTTAAGTAGGTTTTATAAATATGGCCCAAAGCTCTTTTAAATGCGGTATTCCATATTTCAAGTATTTCAAGATGTGGTTATTAATGGGGAATTACATCCGATTTTTCAAATCTTCAGTATAATTCAATCATTGAGATGTAAACAAAATTACTCAGTGGTTTGATGTGAAATGCTCTGTTCCAGAGAAACTTGCTGAGTCAGAAATGCTTATAACAGTGGTGATAGGAAGCAGACGTCTTAACTATTTAAAGCTTCTAAAAGCTCCCTCACAGAAAGCTACCAGATGAAATAGATATGAATACGCTGATGCGCAAAACATTTTTTTTTAATTCATGCAGAGAGGTAGATGCAGGGTGTTGTAAGGCAAAATAGTCTTTTTTTTCTTTCAGATTAAAACCTGGTTATTTGGATAGCAAATAAAATTGCTGTATTTGTGTTGTAGATATTCCTGGTTCCTATCACAGCCAGTGCAAAGTAATCTGTGTTGACAAGTTTCTCTACAAGGAACCATTTCACATTAACCCACCGTAAATGACTTTCTTTACATCTCAGTGACTGAATTATGCAGAAATTGTGTAAAACTTGTAGAAATGTCCCTTTAAATAGTAAATAATATTCTGTAATTACTCAATTGTTTGTAACCTGTGAAGCTGCACAGTGCTGGCACAATATTAGAATCACTTTATGGATGTGTCCGCAACAAAACTGGTTTAAAGTGTTTGAAAACCTGGTGATTCCAAACTTTGGAACATTTGTAATATAAGTATGCACTTCCAATCGCATTGTGAAATCATTTAGCATGTGAAATATTTTTCAGCCTTTGTGGTGCAACCAGGCAGAATGTCATTCGGCCAGCATGTCAGTGCAGCTCTCTCCACCTGTGTGCTTCCACTGCAGCGAATCAAGCTGCTTTTTGCACTTTGTAGCTCAACACAGAGGCAGCACGGGTCAAGTGCAGCCAAGTGCCTGTGTATGAGAATGCGTGTGCGTTAGCACTAGGGTGGGGGTCAGTACTGAAACGTTACGCTGCGCTGTATGGAACGCCACACGTCTGTCACGAGGGGGCAGGACGCCGTCCGTCTCACTTACCCAGGACACCACTCTACCGTTGAAGCAGGGCAGCTTGGCATTGTCGTCAGATATCTCCTCTTTGACAACCCTGCATGGAGGACACACACACAGTTAGGGACCCCTTGAGAACCACACACCCTGCACTCCCTGCCTATGTTCACATCTATTTGTAAAAGCTGAGGCATAGTGAAAGCACGTCACGCTCAAACAGCGGAATTTTCCACTTAGCGTGCAACTGCTAGAAGTCTATGATGGGAATGCTGAACGACTCTGTTGTACTGAGCCCATTGAAAACTACTCCATCTTACAGACTGGCTTTATTAGCATTTAATGCTCATTCCAGTTTATCTACTAAAACTTCAGTTGTTGGAAGCCACACATGCTGCACCGCAGTAAAAAACGAGGGCAGTGCTAATGTTTCTCTCACTGTTTATGATACAGTGAGTGTTCACAAGTGAAAGAGAACGTGTTTATGCGTGTTTGTATTTGTACATTTTCAGGACAAAAATTTAAATTGTAAGACTACAAGAGAATAATAATGGTAACAAAACAGTCCTTGCTTTGTGAACTAAAAATGATTGGTCCTTTTTAGATACATACAGTTATATACATATACATAACTGTATGGTCTTGCATGGTTGTTAGTAAATTAATAAGTTACTAAATTTTTGAACTCCAGTTTTATAGATATACAATAAAGAGGAGGAAACAGCACCTATGTCAGCAGGGAACAGATTTTTTGGATTGGTTCTGTATAATAAAAAGTTTTCTAACTATGCGAATTCTGCAAAAAACTACAAATATTTTTTACACAACTCCGTCGCATACATATACTTACATATATGAAACATATATGGGACATATATATATATATGTATGACATCATATCCTGAGTAAGTATAAAAACAATCCTGTGTGTGTTAGAGAAAGAGAGAGAGAGCAGCGAGGGTGTCAGGACGGGGGTGGGGGGGTTATTAATAGAGTGATCGGGTGTGTTTGCATGGGTCCTTCAGTGTTCGTCCCAGGCTGTAAATTCCCTACAGAAATACCACACAGTTACCCTTTAACCCTCTGAGACACGGTTCAACAGTCACACACCTGCTAGCCTCCCGTCACTCTGTACAGGTCAGATCCACACACGCATGTTAACAGAGCACCACGGCAGATACAAATATTCAGCATAGAAGCAAAAAAACACTAACAAATAAACAAATGCAAACAACACACAACAAGAGGCTGCATGTGAAGCTTTCATGCATAGCGTCATGTCTCCAGAAATTCCATCAGATGCTAAAATTACAGCTCTTTCCTCTGAGCTCCTCCAGAACTTCCAGGTCACATGACCCAGGGGGGCTGTACTGCTGGGAGGTGCGCGAGCTGGGACTAGAAGACGACGATAACATGGATTTGTGGTAGGGGAAAAAAAAAACACAAGGGGTCTGCGGCCAGCTCCAGAGCTGTAAGCACCGCAGAGGAAGCTGGGCTGGAGCTCCAGTCGGGGGTAGGAAGTGTTTGTGTCCTCTCAAGAGAGCTCCATAATATACAGCCGCTCGTTGGGAAGCTCATGAGGGTGACCTCAAGGAAGTGTGGTCTGAGCAAACATGCACAGAAGAGGAAACGCCTTCAGACATATAGCCAAGTGCAGTACGCATTAGAATTTTGGGCCCTGATAATGAAAACAATCCTTTTTTCTTGTATTTAGCTACTATTTTTTTTTTAATTTTTAACATTTTTTCATGACCATTTTCATCCTCTCTTTATTCCTTTCAATAAAGGCCCAGCTGTTGGTAATGTGTTCAAAGTGAACAACAACAGGTGGCACTGTAATGAGGTACAGATTTATGAAATAACAATGAAAATAACAAGAAATGTTTGGGTTTAACTTGCTCACACAGCTATGACATATGAGGTGAGGTGTTTATTAGGGGTGCCGTAATGTCACCGCTGCCCTGTTGATGTTCTAGCTTCTCTGTTTCAGGGATTTCCTGTGATATGGGCCTCTCCAGCTGCGAGGCTGAACTAAAGCAGATGCTGGGCAACTCACACGGGATTCCCTCACCATCGGAAAACAAACAGACGCACCAGGTCCAGCCGCATGAACGCTTTGTTGATCGGTGCCACTGGAGAGCTGCTCTCTGCTTTTCAAAACTGTGCAGTGCTGCAGCTGTATTAACATCTTACTCACACCACCTGAGCTGTTAGGACAGGACTGAACTGTTTAACTCCTGTAGCAGAGGGGCTCTGACTGAGGCTGGGTATCAATGGTTGAAAATGTACCAATATCAATACCCTGACTTTCACACAGACTGCTGGACGATATTTGCAAGATGATCTCGGAATCGTATCGGTATCAGCAGATATTTGCTTTAAAGACAAATGTTGAAGCTTGATCGATATCTCAAACCAATATTTTGATGATGTATTTATTGTATTCCAGAAGAGCTGAATGTTTATTCCACACTGTGCTACTGCGTGTTATTAATTTTACTGTATTATACGGGCATATGAAGTCTGAGCACCTCTAGTCAAACGACATGTTTTGCTGATCTTATAAGTGTTTGCGAGTTCAGACCGTGCCTTCAACATGGTGGTGGTAGTATGAGGGAAGACCGATAGAGGGAGGGGGGACAACTCTGAGAACTCTGAGAGGACCAGATGAGGGAGGGAGGGGGGACAACTCTGAGAGGACCAGATCCCCTCACAGCTGTAATACAACTGCTGTAGGACAGAGGAACAGGGAGGAGACTGGGTGGCCCCGGGGATTGCAAACACTTCGTCACGGTAACGGAAAATGAGGATGTAAATTTATAGGGTGTTTTTAGGTGGTTAACTCATCCTCTACAAACTTAAATATGGAAATTTCTGCAAATTTTATGCAATTTCAGAAAATGTATGCAACTGTAGTTGAATGACAGTTTCACTGTGTAAAGCCAGCCTAAGAACTAAACATTACAAAATTAGGCGTGCAGCGTTACAGAATTGTGAACTGGGAAATTGGGATTATCTGGATTAGCATTGCAGAGAAATATAAGATTTACTTTTATAGGGTTACAAATGCAGTAAAATAAATAGAACACAGCCATCTTAGCATAGTAGACCAGCATTACCTAAACACTGCATTCTTCCAGAACGAAACAAATATTTAATCAAATACTAGTTTGGATTACTGTTCAAACTTAAACCTCTGTTTGATGCTGATATGATCTCATCATGTCTACCTACATCAAATAAGTTTTATAGCTTCTATGAAGCCAGTGGGACAGATTACTCCTGAAAATAAACTCCAGATGTCCTAAAATAAAACTAGACCTCAGTGACACATGAAAGCCAACTGAATATGTGGACTACACTGAAAATGTCATTTAAATGTCATTTAAAACACTAGATTCACTTTGTAGGTCACTGATCCACACACACTCTTCTAGAGGGACATGTGTTTGGGTGCCTGACACCGCTCTGGCTCTTCCGAGCTGCAGGTTTAGCAGGGTATTAACAGATTTCAGCGGATAATGACAGAAGATTTGCAGGAGATTGTTGTTTATTATACCAATGCTGAAACCTATAGCTGGGATATGTGTCAGTAGTGGAAGGATTAGTGGTGTTTATTTGTGCTGGGAGACAAAGTAAGGCTAGTTATGGTCTGATAAATGAGGGGGGCTCAGATGGAACGTAAAAGCATTCAATCACCACAGGCCACCAGTGCAGGCGTACTATTCTGTGAGTGGGTCCTCTCCAAGCGCATCATATCCATCAAACAAAAATAACAGACTCTGTGAGGTTAAGAGCATCGCAGCACAGCTCTTACGCAGTCATTAGTCAAAATGGATTTTTGCCAGCTACTTACAGCTCGCTTACAGACTTGGACAAGTCGATTTCTCTTTCATGTGTGTTTATGTGTTACACATTTACAGAAATCGATTTGAGATTTCACTGACATTAAAAAAACGACCACGGCTTATTACAGTAAATAAAGTCTGTCTGCAAGGCTGAGAGCATTGATGAAAACATCAGTACAAAGACGATGGACAAAAATCAGAAGCATTTTACATTGTTTTGCTAATTTTACACCAGAGCCCACATATATGGTACACTAGGGATGGACGATGATATGAATCATACTGGCATCAGCAAATATTTCTTTAAAAAAATGACTGGTATTGGATAGATGTCTAGATTTGAATATTTCCAAACAATATTTGATCATGTATTTATTATGCTCTGGAGGAGCTGGATATTTAGGTGATGGTGGACTACAATTCAAAAATAGATACATTTTCTTCACTTCACTGCTTCTGCAACCCTACAGAAATAAATATTATATTTCTCTATAGTGCTAAGACATAATTTTTACATTATACAAATATTTATGTATCAGTATCAGCAGATATATACATGAAAACTATTGGATACTGACATTAGCAACACAAAAATAACTGAAAAACAGCCAAGTCACTAAAATTATCAACATGGTAGACCTATTATTTCCATTTATCTGCAGTTCCAATGGATTTCCTCTCAGTGCTATCACTATCGATTATATTACTAATCCATTATTTGGATTATAACCAAGAAACCCAGTAAAAAAAAACTGACTAAACTGAATACTGACAAATGCACAGCCTTCAAAAACAGATGAGATAGAAGGCCTTAAAAGACTGAAGGCTACTAAAGATTTTAAAAACCATACAGAAAAAAAACATTTCGCATAAATGTATGTGTCAGTCAGGCTCTGTTTCACACTAGAAGAGAGACCTGTGGGAGAATTTATATTATGCAGTATCATAAGGCAAATAGCCATCTTATTACAGCTGATTCATCAAGGACACTGCCAGAAAAAGGGCCATATAGGTGGATTTTTGCCCCTTAAGGTACAAACAATGTGAATCTACCTTGACCAGCACAAAAAAACTTCTTGTGGGCCTTGAGTTCTACAGGTGCACAACATTTACTTTCCCGGGTGAAAGGTGCACATTTGAACCTGTTCTTATCTTACTTAAATTTTAACTTGTTGGTGTGGTGGGTACCCCCACCCTCCTAGCAGGGGACTGGAGTTTCACATTTATTTATTTACTTAGCTAATTTTTGGTC